ATAGGAGTTCCCGTGGAACGTGTGGCTGCGTCTGGCGCTCTCACCAACAATCCTACAAAGTTTTGGCGTCAGATACCGTATACCTAAATTCTTCTCAACTCACATACCTACCGTAGAGACATTGTCCATTCGCACTAAAATAATTATTTTCAAGTCTTGCGAAAAAAGTTATATTAATTTCGATGCAGGTGCGAAAATGCGAACTAAAGAAATAATCTCGAGACCCTCAAAATCAACGAAAACGAAAAGTTTAATAAATTCGTCGATGCTGGTGCGAAATCAGAAAAAGTTCAAAAATAAATATTCGCACCAAGGTGGTGCGAATGGACAATGTCTCTACGGTACTAGGTAGCTGTAGCACATTTTGAGCAGTATTTGAATATATTTGATTCGTATGGCACAAAGAAATGTATCTTAGCCGTTAATTTGCATATCGGACGGTTGTAGCACGCTGGTTTTGGCGGGTGATGAGTGTTCAAACAACGCACGGGTGCTTATAGGCGGATAAAAAGCTAGCTGGAGTCCGGCAGCAGGATCTGGCAGCTTTGATAGCTCAGCTCTTCACATTAAACGGTATACCGTATTAGCGTTCAATCTGGTGCAGGTGCTGGTGGCATTGCAAGGATTTGCAGAAACTGTGCATCCTTCGCGAGTTCTTGTTCATCCGTTGCAGCATCAGCTTTTAGCAGGACTAGAATTTGGAGCTGGGACTCTGACAAAGGTGCTTGCAGGAAAGAAGCCGCTCATACAGAGGTTGGTGCTTCCATTGCCTAGTGTCTCTGCAGCGGCGTGGTCGTGCGAGGTCCTGTGAAACAGTTCTCAGGTGTCTGGCAAAAGCGGCGATGATTGAGAGGAGGGGCGACGTGACCTACAATTTAGTCATCGAAGATGATCAAGGAAACCCGTTCCCTGAGATTCTCAAGGATGATGTCACTTATGTCGTTGCAAGGCCCAACACCCAGTTCCAGGTGCGAATAGCAAGAAACGTTGCAGGATCCCAATTGGCAACAGCTCTATATGCAGCAGGACTTGCTATTGATGGGGAAAGCATTGGCTATATCAGAGATCTGCGGAGCGCGGGTGCGAAAGCTAAGGACTGTGTATTTGAGGGTTGGCGAGTTGACCATCGGAGTAAGCGAGCGTTTGTCTTTGGGCAGCCGCGTTCTGCTACCGAAGACCATCAGCAACCATTCATCCCTGCATCACAATCGCAGGTTGGGACTATGGTAGCTTCCTTTCTGAAAATGGAGAGATATGCATGCAAGGCCCCGGAAGAGCGCTGCAGCGCCTGTGAATTCAGAGGTTTCGGAGCAAAGCGGAAACCTCGGGACATTAAAACGGCCTCCTCTGTCACTCAGGTAAGGACTGACAATCCTCTGACTGTTTGCTTGTCACAGAGCGTTATCCTTTGCCCAATTCCCGTTTGTGGCAAGGGTCTGCAAATCATGTCAAGTTGAATAGATTGCTTTAATGGAGTGTTTCTATGGTGGCCATCCCAAAAAAGCTTCGACTCAAGGCATCCAGCTAGGGGAGATGTAAATGCATTAACGAGATTTCAGGTCAAGGAGAGCAATAACTTTTCAATCTGGTCAAACAGCGAAATTAGAAGTACGTACCTACCTAGTCTGACCGTGTATTCCACCTTATTCGCTCTCTATTACTATCTTTTCAACCGAGACTGCTTTGCCAGGCCAATGAAGCTGATGAAGGGCGCGGAAGTCTGACTCAGTGATGTCTGACCACTCAACATCAAAGAATTGGTTTTTGCAGGCTGATGGGAAAAAGTTCTTCACTGCCCCAAGTCTGACTGCGGAAAGCGGACGGGTGCTGCCTACAAAATCCCACAAACAAGAGTCCTTTCACACCCGACCAGTGTCTAGAGTTCCGGTAATTCAGCTGAAGCTCAGGTTTGAGACAGCTCCCATCCTGTTGCTGCGGAAAGTTCTAGACCAGAGCAATCCGGAGCATGCACGGTTGTTGGAAGGGGTGCATCAGAGAGTTCAGGAAGGGGGTGAGGCGTCAACAAGTCAGCCAGCGGTCGAGCGGAAACCCAAGACTGTCAAGGTAAGAGCAATTACACGTGCCCAGCGGCAGTTCTCAAAAGTCAGATTATTTAGAACAAGCGGAGTGAAGACCGTGACGGTTGATTACGTTTGATTTAAGCTGTAACATTTGAGGAATTGTGACACTTCATATAAGGAATGCATACCAAGCTCTAAATAGTTCCTCTGGCGTGCAAGATTTGGGAATGCCGGTAGCTCCCGCGAAGTTTCAGAAGAGAAACAAGTATGAGATTACATTGCCATCTCCTCCTGGAAATGGGAACTCAATAATCATTCTTTTACCTACTCTGATGAAAGTGGGAGTCCGCAGTTCTTTCTTTGGTGGTGGGACTCCCAAAGATTGACCGCAGCCCAAAGAACTTTGCCTGGACTACTAGCGACCTGGCTCACTGTGCGGGTCATTCCACAGCCCAGCAAAATCCTCACTTGACCGCATCCTGACTAGAGCAGGAACAACATGGGCACCTGCTTCTCTGCTGTGCAGTCCACGGGTCCCCCTTAATTGAGAATGAATACCGATTGAAGCAGGCTCTTATTATTCTGCCCTCAATCAGCCACGAGTTCAAAGAACATCATCCACGTTTGTTGATCACAAGAAAAGAGAGCTTGGTCTCAAAAGCATGTGCGCAATTTGCAGGTCGAGACGAAGAAGAGCGGAAACAGCACAAGAACAGAAGGAACGGAAGCGTCTACGAAGGAGACGAAGGTGGGGCGCAAGGAGGCCAAGCGAGGGTGGAGCACGAAGTTGGAGCTCACAGGCATCGAAACAGTGGACTTAACAGAGGACGATGGGAATGATGATGAGTGCATGATGTACACAGTCGAGAAGAAGCCTCGGCCGAATGATTTTGTGTCGGTTGACTAGCTCGCAGAAGTAAGATCAGGTTCATTCGCAGGCGGACTCCTCGATCTTGTTGGAGACCAAAGTCAATTGACGTTACAGCTCAATTTCCAATGCTGAGAAGAACCTGATGTCCGTAGTCCTCTGATTGATTGAGAACGGACCAGTTTCTGCATGAAAAGATGGATATTTTTCCACGCTTGACAACTGATGTATATATATTCCTACAGTTTGGGCTGTATAAGGAATCTGCCAGCCGCGCAAGCATTGGACCATATGCATGATGTTTGAGTTCTTTGAGTAAGCATACTAACACATAGGATGGGTGCCCTGATGCACTATTACCATATAGCCCTAGCTACCGGTGTCCCGTCGATCTACCCAGTACTTCTACAAAGCAGCGCTAGGCATGTGGCCCTGCAATAGTGAAAGTTACGCGGCATGACTGGCTCATGGCGCACCATCAGTTTTTCTGACGACACTGTCACCTGCATGTGTGCATATGCTACTATAGGCTATGGTCAGATCTGACGATTGCAATCAAACGGTGACTGAGTCAATCATGGTGGCATGAGCTTGCGCAGCAGAGTCCAATGATCGAACGTAAACATGTGATAAACAGGATGCCATGATGCATGGTTATATACTTGCATGCGACGAACACAATAATGAATCTACTGGGGATGACCGGGCATCGACTCATGATGACCGGACAAGGTCGAATTGTATGCCAGAAGAGCAATTCAGTATGGCGATCACGCTAGGCGCTCCGTAGGCGCTTTTAGCTCGTTAGCTTCGTCAGTGTCCACTCCTTTCAGGGGACTGGCTACGCAGTCAAACACCTCTATTCTTGCCCAGCCTCTCGTCTCCAGACGCTTATGTGCAGAAAGTGGTCCGGATGACTCAGGTTCCTGCTCAGCCAATTCAGAGGCACATCCCATCGAGGCTCCGTCCCTTGTATTCGCACCACCAAACCGTTTGGGAACGACCGATCAACCACGTCGCTGTGCACCTCACCGCCGCCCTCCGCTCCGACTTCCTTCTTGGCCAAGCTTGCTTCGTCACTCTCCCCCGCTTCGCTTCCCCGCGGAGTCGTACTTTCGCTTCCAACTCCACCGCTCCCCTCCTCCGAAGTCTCACGAACCATTCCGCTTGTTCCGGCGGAAGGCACTCCCCCCGGCGACTCCGCAGAAGACCCCCTCCTCGACGTGTCTCGTGGGCTGTCCGTCAACTCTTCCGTGATGCTGTTTCGTCGGCTGGTGGACGGTTCGATCTCGAGACCGCTCACTCGACGGCCGAGCTCCGTTGCGAGCGCGGGCAGGTTGTTCGAAGCGCCCTCGTCGAACAGGTGCGGCACGGCCTTGTGAAGCGCTCCACCCAGAGTGGCCGGGGAGCCTACGTGACACAAAGGACACGTTACTTCAGCAGAGTGTCTTTGAATTCGTCCGACGGATGTTACATAGTCAACGGACCACGAGCGATCGGTATCTGCACGGCATGATCTGCATGTCTAGTATACACGATTGGAAGTGAGTTTGTCAGAGAGTATGCTACTCCTCCGAGTTCCCGCCTTTCGAGTTGTCCAACCACCTTCTCAAGGTCGTCTAAGCAACGTGTTACTGAATGACGTGTCTCGATTGACCAGTATCAGTTAGCTAATAGGCGAAACAGACTCTCTATTCTCGACGTCGCAAAAGTCGATCGAGCGGATCAAAGGTCGTGCAAACAAGGCAAGATTCCACGCTCGCGGTCAGAAAAGGCTTCCATCGACGCACAGGATTAAAGAATAGACTTCGAGCGGGCAGCGATCGGCGAAAGAGGTCGAGGAAAGACAGACTGTCGAGCACTTTGTTGACACACTTTCTTAAAGACAAACAATGCGTAGAATACGATGCAATTCACCCAAAAATAACCCCGTCTTATTCTGCTTCTTTAAAAGCACACCATTCCGAAGGCTTGTCTCCCGTCCAGAAACGCCCACTCCTATGACAGCCGCACCAAGCGGCATGTTCGACGCCTCACCGCTGTCCATGACGTCAGCACATCTCGTCGTAACCGCAATCTCCTCCCACTTCTTGACATGTGCGCCGCTGGTCCCCGCTTGTCTCAGGTACAGCCGCAGAGGAACCGACCGGGGTCTGCTGCTGGTGCTGACGCCAAGACTTGCGGCCGAGCTCGTATGCCTGTTGAAATCACCTGCGGCAGAGTGAGTCTTCCAGTGAAAAGCTAGCGGGTCAGGACAGCTTTGGATCCCTAGCAACTAGACTTGCGTGTGTTTCTTAGTGCTGAACTCAGAGTTCGAGGCCAACCTCTTGAGTAGAGATCTCTGGAAAGGAAAACTTGTGCTTTTGTGATCGTGGACGACTTAGCGAACCGCAGAATGGAACAGCATTTCTGGTCGGTCCTGGTCGTTATCCAAATGGAAGAACCTCTCTGCGCATTTGATGTTGGTCGGCTCATGGTTATCGTTCATCCACAGAGAACCCTTGCTCGCTTGAGACAGAAGGCGAAGATAGACTCGACTGATCTGCCGGCATGTTCGCATGACGGTCCCAAAAAGGATCTTCGTGTCTTCGTCGAACAGCAGAGTATCGACCAGAGGGGTTTGTTATGAGGAAAAGGGACTTCGTCTGGATAGAATGACCGGCCTACGCTCACACATGCGAGGAAACCTAAATTCTCTAGCCGAGAAGGATGATTCCCACCTTCTGCGAGCGATCGCCACAGCTCCTCCTGGTCTTTCTGCGACAGGCTCATCACCGGCTTGGTGCTCCCGTGCATTATGTACACTGCCTGGCGGACAAGGCACAGGAACAGGTTTTGTAAGAGAAGCATCAGGAATAAGAATACGTCCATAATAAACATTAGCGCTAAAAACGCCAAGAGTTCGGTAGAAAGACCTTTAGCGTTTTTGGCGCTTTACCAAGGTCTTTCTACCGAAGTATTTCGAAACGAGATGCATTAAGACGAGTCTTGACGAACGGATCAACCGTAACTTCGATGAGCAGAATGAGTCAAGGTGGACAAGAAGGGGGTTAGAATAGGGGGACGAAGTGGATGCAAGAAATCCACGTTCTTCGTTCTTGAAACGCGCGTACTCTTGTCTATAGACATATTCTCGACTATGAGCATCGTCTCATTCCAAGTTTCTAAAGACGCAGCACCGACAGGTGGCAGCAAAAAAAGCGGCTCTCGATCTTTCGATTTGAACAACCTGAGTAGCTTTCAAAACAAAAGTCAACCTCGATCTAAAGATCGAGGTTGACCGGTCAAGACACGTACTATAGTTACTGAAGTGCGTCCAGACAAGCAAGGCTCGTGCTCCAGCTACACTGGTTTCGAAAGCTGTCTTACCTCTTTCAGAGCGTTCATGTAGCTCCACTTCACAGTCTCCTCTCCCTCGATTGGAATGAGCTCACTTGGATATGTTCGAAAATGAACCTGCAAAAAAGTCCGCGTGATTGGTCGGCGGTGAATACAGTACGATTGGGCCGGATGCAACTGGAATATTGAAGTAAAACATAGCTGATGTTGTTATCTCGTTTTATCGCAACTCAAATGGTTTACTATTGCTCAATTACAGCTGACGTGCCGCAAAAAAGCGCCAAAAACGATGGTCTCTAGCAGGAACAGAATTGCACAGGGGACTGAGCAAACCACAGCTCTGTCCAACTTTGATGACCCGTCTCACAAGCAGAATGTATCTCTCAGCAGGGAAGCCACGAGAGAAACAAGTTCTTCTAGTCGCTCACCGTCAACTGCCAAGGTAGAGTCTTTTCTTCCGCCAGCAGGTCGTACAGCACGCCGGTTGGGATGTGCCACTTCAAGGGGAGGCCTCGGTACTCAAACCAGATCGCGTCCGTGCCGGGGGGTAGAGCGGCCCGGAAGTGAGGTTCAATCTTGCTTGCGAGAAGGGGGAGATAGCCGAGCCTGGGCGCCATCAACTGGAAAAGTGTAGAACGGCGTCTTAGATTGCTGCGCATCTACATTTAGAATTCAGAAGGTGACTTCTAACTGCTATCTTTTGAATTCAGAAGGTAAATGCTTGAATGACATTCCGGTCCAGGATGACTGAGAACAGCCAAGGGAAGTTTCATGAATCATCCATGTGAGATCAAATTGCGTCAAGATCGCATACAAAGCCCACAGCTTGCTTGGAAAGCACTAAGCATCGGACCACTTCTTCTTTGCAAGGAACCTCTTCACAAAACCAACTTCCCAGGGCTTCTCAAAGTGAATACAAAATCGTCCAATTTTGTGATGACCGGTGGACAATTGCATGCTTCCATATGAACAAAAGTCATGATTCGCTATCGAAGGTGATGTGCCAATGCTATTGTGAGGTAACTCCAAAGCTTCCTATGACATGAAGACAGCCTGAAATGGTTTGGAGAAAGATCGGAGACCTTGAGTCCAAAGGCACTCTATTTTCCCGACCGTGAAATTCGCGTGGAAAATGGTATAAAAGAGGACCGGAAGAAACATGTTTGGCTCAGAAGATGAGGGAATTACATGAGCAAGAATCTAACTAGAGATTGGCAGGTTCTTTAAGGCTTTAAATAGAGTTGTCAACATCGCTACCCAATACTGCACTCCCTCCATCTGAATATATACTGTGATTCAAAGGGTGCAACAAAGTCCTCCAGTCTTTACAGTCTTTAAGGACATTATACAAAAATCAGAGATCGATGAGTGTTCAAACAAACATAAAATTTCAACACTTTCTCTCACAATTTGCATATATAAGCAATCTACATAGGATAATTCTATGTACAGAGTTTAATCATTTTCCCGGGGCACCTACAAAGAGGGGAGGTGGTGGTGTCAGCGTCGTCACTTCCTTGGCCTCCAATTGAATCCGCAGCGGGAAATTCCCCTCCCACACTACTTTCTGAATCGCCGCATCTTCTGGGACCTCCATTGCAGGCGGTTGACCAGCCATCCCGTCAGCGGCTGAAATTTCTCAAATCCAACCCTAAAATATAAAGTGACTACTGCAGTGTCTCCATCTGCTTTTAGCAAGATTTACCCCAGTGCTACACAAAGCAGCATCTGATCCTCTTTCTCCAGCACGTTTTCAGAAGATTGAGGAGATTGTTTTCTTTCATAAAGAGGAGATTTTTTTTCTGATGTACCCTCGGGTGCTTCAAGGACTTGAGCTCTTAGAAAGACTGCTAGACGACCGAAGTGAGGGAATACCTATCCAAACTCAGCCTTCAGCGGTTCACATTCTGCCGAGCACTTTTATTTTAATGGTGACCTACAAAAGTTTTTAGTCAATTGAGATCATTTCCGAAGAGGCTGCGCATGCACCAACTCCATCTCCGTCCACTCCATTTCCTACAAGCAGCCTCTCTTGGCTAGCGCCCCACTCTCTTTCCTTGAACAAGCTGTGACATACCGGGATGATTCTGAATCAGGAATGCTCTTTGTAAAATGGGGGTTTACCGCTTATACCGGTAACTTGTAAGAGTAGTCGATGTACCTAATTTCTGAGGTTATGAGCTTAATCCAGCGGCAAACCCAGGTTCAAAACCCTTCTAAAACCTGCTCGAACAAACTCGCGCGTCGGCCGGAGGGCGCAAGCTTTGCGCCCGCGGCCGCGCTTTGGTGACGCAACTCCGGAAAACCTGCCTCGTTGGCCAAATTCCGGCCCCCAGACCAACATATCTTGGACGGACGGCGGAGAGCTGCCGACGAGGCAGATCGAACGGCTTCGCTTGGGAGATTTGGATATCGAGTGCTGACGAGACGGAAACAATGAACAAAAGCGAAGGTTCGGTTTGCGTGGCACCAGCAAATCCAGCGTGCAAGCAAGCTGGAGCTTGCCAGCCATGGCTTCCGTTCTCCTCCTCTGAAGAGCAGACGTGGTTTGCTGCTCGTGGAGCCAACTAAAAGGAAACCCTTTCAGTTTTACCGAGCTCCAAAGCGAAAGGAGGAAGAATGCGGCCGTGGCTGCGAGGGAGGGAGGGGTAGCAGAGACGGTGAACGGTATCAAGGTGGAGTAGATATTGAACTGTGAACGCAGTGATAGGAGCTTCTGAAATGCTGGATCTTGGATCCAGATTGCCAGCAGTTTCAATCTTCTGCAGCTGAGGCCCCAGCATATCTGCAGGGGCAATACGAGGGTCAACAATTGTTCACAATTATTCCGGAGGCAACCCTTCTTCACAAGTTGGGGTCGGCATTGCTCGCAATAAGGGGCCAGGAGGGTTTCTTTATCCAAAGCAGACATTTCTTGTACTGCCAGCACGGTGGACCCTATCAATTTGAGGTTGATTCACCAAGTTCGCAACCCAGCAGCCCAACGTGTGCTGAGCATTCAGCAGAAGAGAGAGGGCAAGTTTTACTTAGAAGTTCAATCGCGCTGCTCCTTCAGTTCCCAAAACATCGACGTTTTTGCTAATTGAGGCTTACCTGCCAGCAGTTCTGCAGCTTTTGACACGATGTCGTCCATACTGATGAACGCGGCTCCGGGGTCCTTCTCCCGGCAACAGTCGTTCAAGCTCCCCCCCATGGGCGGTGCGGCCTTCATTCCAGCGCACCCGAGCAGCCTGGGAGCAGGGGGCACCGTCCACTCTCTGCAGTCCAGCAAAACAAAGAACCATGCTAACCCAATACAAAGAGGAGGAGGGGAGAAGACGACCTACCCTGCACATCATCAAGCAAAACCTAGCGGTGTGAATCAATGGGGAGCTGGTGTTGATGTCGCTAACGAGAGGCGGAGGACGAGCCTGGATCTGTTACACCCACGAGGGTCTGCCAGTGCAAATGTGCAGGTGAGGGCCATGTTGTTACCAGGGTTTTCTTCCTAGGCCTAATGCTTTGTTCAACATCCTCTCTCTGCTTCATTGCCTTTGAATCTAAGCTCTCAGATCAAAGCGTGTGCTCGGCATGCTTTCTCATACAGCAGAGCTGCAAGCATGGTGTTGACAAAACCGTTCTATATCAAAAAGGCTTTACTGGGTACATCATTGAATAAGGATAGAATTTGTTGTTGGTATGCTGTGGTAAACTCGCTGGCCTCAGCAAGATTGGTCGTCAGGAGAGTCTGAAGCGACCTGAAAGAATGGACATGTCCATGCTATGTTGTTCTTTTAGCCGTGGCATGTTCCACGCTTTCGACTTGAAGTTGTCGAAGTTGCCCTCTGCTCGCTGGAATTTACCAGTGGACCGTAATTTTGCATGACAGAAAGGGTTTGTTGAATGTTGCTTTTTCCGGATTCAAAGGCCCCCTTCAGTTAAACTTTGGCACTCCTTCCGTAAGTTCTTGTTCTCTGGTCTTCAGAGGTACCACAACCTGGACCTGCACTTTTGCATCTAGCATTTTTGTCAGAAGTCATCCTTTTATCCTTATTGTATTGCATGATTTATATGTTTATCAAAAAAGAAACTATTTAAGGTCAAGCGCTTTTACCATGCAGTCCACAGCTTTCCCCTTCTCGTGTTCCCCCTGCGACCGGCCCCTTACTTTAATCTTGTCTACTTGCAGGTTCCCCACAAGCAGCATCCGAGGAATTCTCTTGAGGTTTCTCTTGCGAAGGACGGCCTTGACTTAGACATTCTCGACATGCTCCCCAGCAGTCTTGGTCTGGGGGGTTCATCCGAAGATGAGGAAGAGGATCGGCGGCAGACTGGGAGAGACCCCTGGAACAGGGTCAGGGGGGATCAGTTCCCACCCGCTGTCAGCAGCACTGGGTTTTGGCAAGATGAGTCGAGCGCGACCGAGCACCCCCGGCGGAATGTAACTAATCAGCGTCCTGCTTTGGAAAGGGCTTACGGAGTGCCAGAAGTGAGGTCTAGCGACGGCGCTTCCACCTCTTACGAGGGCCGGAACAGCAGTGACTTCTCTGACTCTTTCACAGTTGAGAGCCTCCGCCAAACTGCCAGGGGCTTTGCTGACCTCACCCGGGGCTTCGCTGACCTCAGCAGTGACAGCTCAGTGACCGGCTTCGAGGAGGGGGGTTTCCAAGGGGGGGCGCTTGCGCAGGAAGAGTACAGGCGGGGCTTCCGGCGCAAGACAAGCGGTGGGGGGGGTACCACGGAGTGGGGGGGTCAGGTTTCCCATGTCCTGGCAATGCTGAAGAAGGGGGCGAGCGTGAGGGTTGCGCTCGGCGGGGGGGTGGATCGGAAGCTGAATGTGAGGGAGTGGAACAAGGTGATCCAAACGGCGGGGATGACCCGGGGGTGGAAGGACGCGTGGGCCGTGTTCACGCTGATGAAAGCGGCGTATCTGGAGGGTGTGGATTGCAGGCCCGACGAGCGGACGTACACGACCGTGATCACCATTCTGGGGGGGAAGAAGGTGGAGGAGATTGAGGAGATGGACGATATTGCCCAGCAGGTGAGGGGGGTGGCGGTGAAGTGATGGTTTCAGGAATGTGTCGTCATTCTTGGTTTTGTTCAGGGCCCGGACATCATGTGGGGCTTCTTTGTTTGTTCAGCTTGCATGCATTTGGGGTTACTTTTGTTTTGTGGATTTGTTCAGGGCCTCAACTTCATGTGGTGATCTATTAAGCATGGAATGCGTCGTGGAGTTAAAGCAACATGCCTGTTAGTCACAAATGGTTAGCACGAAGGTATCACATTGTCAAGACTATCAGAGGGTTGGACATCTGAATTCAAGTTGGCTACCTCTCTTTGAAAGATTGTGAACACATGCACCACTCACACAAACTCATGGAACTCGCAGAACTAAATCATCGTTGGGCAAAGGCGTAAGCTCTGCTTTTTGGGCAGTATCAAGAACGACCACCACTGGACATACAGACTGGCCAAGGGACACCGTCTCAGAATCTGTTTGTTGCAATGCTGCCCCTAAAAATCTCTCTTCTCCCCACCAGGAGCGCACCGCTCGCACCGCCCTCGCCATCCAGCTGTTCGAGGAGATTGCTGAGTCAGGTCTCGAGCAAGACCAGTTCGCTTACAACGCTCTTATGGGCGTGCTCTCGAACGCTGGCGACCACGCGCGGGCCCGTGCGCTTCTGCAGCGCATGCGGCACTCAAGCGCCCCCCCTGACCTCATCACGTATGGGAAGGTGACTGACGCGTGTGTGAGGGGGGGAGTGCCCCTGGGGGAGGTGTTGCAGCTGTTTGACGAGATGCAGGTGGGTTGGCTGTTTTAGAATGCGTTTCTTTCTAGTTTCCCTTTACCTTGATGTCATTGTCATAAAATGCTCGATTGCTTTTTACTTTGCAGCCTTGCTTTCTACCTCAGCTTTGTCCAAGTACAGATGCTTGCACCTTTTTCCAACTTGCCATCGTGAGATATATTGTTGACGCTGTTCTTTCAACCTTTGTGTCTGTGATTTTTGCTCGTCGTTTCTTCGTTCTCCCAATTTGGGATAGAACCTTCTTCTGTGTTTATCCCATTTTCCGTTTCCAACTGCTTCGCCCTCATTGGAGCCTTTGTTGTGAAAGGTGCGCGTTTGGCATCTCAGATATTTGGTGAAGATTTTTGACGTTGGGTAAATCCTGGTAAACACCAAAGGCCTTTTTTCAGCGGCTTGAACTCTCAAATAATTTGAACTTGCAGACTGTGGACCGCCTCAAGCCCGACATGGACCGCTTCCACGAGCTCGTTGCGGCGCTGTGCGACCAGAAGATGGTGGCGGGTGCGCAGAAGGTGCTGCACGACATGCGCGCCGCAGGCGCGGTTCCGCTGCGCAAGACGTACCTAGCTCTGCTGGAGCTCTACGCCAGGGAAGGGCTTTGGAGGGAAGCGGAGACGCTCAGGAAGGATATGGTGGCTGCGGGTTTGGACCCGAACGGCAAGGTAAGGGTTCTCAAAGGCTCGGTTGTTGGTTGCATGCGAGTCTGCGGTGGGCAAACTGCATGTATTGACAAGTTTGTGAGGGCCTCCTCTGGAGACTTTTAGGCGTCGGAAGCCCGATTCTGCGTTTGGGAAGCGTGCAGGCGGGTTAGGATTGTGTTTGCTGGATTAGAAGCTGCAAGGAACACAAGTTTCGAGTTTTTAGCGTTCTCAAAGCGAAGCTGAAGGTCTTGTAATTGTGAAAACAGTCTGATGTGTTAAAGAGAACGCTTTTCTTGAAAGAAAGTCAACGAGTTGCCTGCTTCTGGCTTCTGCAGTTGCGTTTTCGTTGTAACATCTCCCTGTCCATCTTTTCCAGGACTACGAGTGCCTCATTGAGGCCTACGTCACCGGCGGCCGCCTCTCAGAGGGCCTGGCGACGCTGCGCCAGCTGGCGGTCTGCGGCGCGCGCGGATCTACACGCGCATATACGGTCCTGATCGAGGCTTTCGGAGCTGCGGGGAAGCCGGACGAAGCGGGGCGCGTCTTTTCCGACATGCTCAACGCTCGCACCCGACCAACAGTGGCGGCTTTCACTGCTCTCCTTGAAGCTTACGGCAGGTATGGTGAATTTTGGGATCAGTCGTTTGGAAGTCAGAGTTGGTTTTCGATTCGATGGTGCGGTTGCTTGCTCTTCCCAAACTTCCATGCAATTCTGGATGTGCAGCTTCTGGACGGCTTGTTTGTCCGTTTGACTGACGGCTCTTCGATTGCTGACGGACTTGATTCTGGTCGAGAATATTTCTTCATCAGAGCCAACTTGTCGATTTGCGTGTAATGTCCAAGAGACACATCGAAACGATTCTGGCCGTTGCAATTGGGTCGTATTCTGTTGGTTCATCCTTTTCCAAATTCGTGGACATCCAACGTTCAGAACTGGTTTTCCTTGAGTGGGATCCAATCAACAGTCCACTAATCATCCATCTTCTCCCAACAGGAACGGCAAGCAGCTTGAGGCCGAGAGCACGTTCCAGAAGATGGAGAAGCGCAACATGGAGCCCACTCCCCGCGCCTGGGCCGCCCTCATCGGCGCCTACGGCCGCGGCGGCTGGTTCAAAAAGGCCAAGGACACATTTGCCGAGATGCGCCGCCGGGGTTACCAACCGGGGCTCATCGGTTACGCCGCACTTATCGAGTCGTTCGGGCAGGGGGGTTTCGTCCGGGAAGCTGCCGCCGCTCTCTGGGAGATGCGCCAGGTGTGCAAACTAGAACCGGACCGGGAAGTGTGCACGGCGGTTCTGTCCGCAGTGGCGAATTCGGACGGTAACTGGGCTGCGGCGGGGCCGCTTCTGCGGGCGCTCGGGGGGGCCGCCGAGGGGGACGCGAAGGGCGCCGAAGGCGCGTGCGGCCTCGCGCTTCCTGCGCACTCTGTGCTGACGTCCCCCGAGGCCGGAGAACTAGTGTGGGCGGAGGTCGGGCGCGCGGTCGGCGGGCTCGCAAAGTTGGGCCGCGAGAAGGCCGAGAGCTGGGCGAACGCGCTGCTCGACGCGACGTGGAGCCTCGGGCTGCGGAAACGTGCGGGGAGGTTAGTCGAGCTTGCGAGAGGGTTTGGGCTTTATGGGAGCGCACTCGTGGTGACGCCGGAAGAGTGGGCGCTCGACGTGCGGGGACTGAGCGTCGGGGGTGCGGAGGCGATGCTTTTGATGTGGCTCGGGGAAGTGGTGATTGAGTTCCGGCGGCCACAGGCGATGCTCCCGTACGGGTTGGCCGTTTTCACAGGCGCAGGACAAGAGGTCGTGAGCGGCAACCTGTCTGCAAGTGGTAACGGTGCGGTCCGGCGGGCAGTGATGGCGAAGCTGGCGGGGCTCGGGGCGCCGTTTGTGGTGTCGCGGGAGGACGAGCGGCGGTTGGTGGCGGCGGCTGGGCCAATGCGGGAGTGGCTTTCAAAGGATGCGGTGGTGAAGAGTCTGGCGCTGAGGGACGTGCAAATTCCGGTTGAGCTGCTACGGATGAGAAACGAGGAGCAAGTTGGGCTCGGGGAAGCAAAGAGGGGACCCAAATGGACGGGCCCTGGATGGAGGGGCAGCGGTGTGCCTGCAATGGTACCTTCGTTCTGACACTTGACCTCTAAGTATGGTTCATTTGACAATACAGGCCATAGAACGTGTTTGTTGTTTCAAGTGCCTAGGGCCCAGGATAGATTCGGAGGATTCAAGTAGCACACCTCCGGTTTTTAGTTAGTAAAGTATATGAGTTTCTAAATGACATCCAACCTTCTTGAGATGTGAGTTGCTACGCTTACTGATTCTTAGTACACCCACAAGTTCTAGTGCCGCCTCCTTCTTGCTGGCAGATTGCCAGGCTTACTAGCGCAGCATGGGCGGATCATTCTTGTATACAGTGTCGATGTAGGTATAGTGTTCCTTCGTGTTCCGAATATGCACATGCTATTCAAATGATGTTTCAAACTTACGTTCGGGATCGAATGGGCTTAGAAGCCGCCTGGCCTACATGATGATGCTTCCAATAGGAGATTCGATCACCGTCGATATTCACTGCATGCATGCTTCGGTGTCATGCACTCATGCAAGTCCGGGCCGGCCGCGGTGTGCGCATGCTGATCATGTGCATGTATGCAGGCCGCCGTCTCTGCCACTCGACGGTTGCTGCAGTGACTGCAGCAACGAGCTGATGAGGATTGTCAACAATTGTATGCCGTGAGAAGCCTAATATGGCCGTACTGGCTACGGCGTTACAACGAAAAGATCGAGACCATGCACCCTCCGACCGAACTGCATGGACCGGGCCGCAAGCATTCAACGCGTTTCGACATGGCGGCAGTAGATCGGCCTCACATGAAGTTGCCGGGCCGCTTGGATCAGACCAATCCGATGTCAAGTCAGTGCATGCTGCATGCTAGTAATGATGACTTGGTGTCGGACGCTTGCCCGGCCGCGCTGGCCAGTCGCCTAGCTAGGCGGCTGGATCGATAGAGTACGCACAAGAGTAACTTGAACACTCCGCAATCTGATATATCGATCTTGGCCTAGCATAGCTGAGATCAGTGTCGGAGGGCATGCGCATGTAAGTTCTGAGTCTGCCATGCTCTGCATGCCGGGTCCCAGCCCTGCTCAGCTGCTGCAAGGCTGCGCATCGTCATAATGGGCTCGACGGTGCATGCCAATAACCGCCACAAGTGCTGTGTCGAAACAGGCTCGCCCGGGCCCGGCCGCCCAACACCCTGGCGCAGCGCTCACATGATTGTATCTTTAGACAGTCCGATTTCGAGTTGCGTTGAAGACTGGAGGTCAGTACATGCTTGAAAACATCGGAAACGTCCGACCCGGCCGATCTTTGTATCTACTATGTTACACGCCACTAGGCCCTGCAAGATCAATCTGCACTGAGTCTCGTCTCAGTATTCAATGAAGTCAGTTTGTGATTTTATTTGCACCACTCAGACAAACGCTCGTTCCCGGATCCATTTGGTCGAACTCCACTTCTCCCCCACCACGACAGGGCAGCCCCCATGTAGACTCAAGGGATCCACGGCCCCCTCTAGAGTCTGCAAACAAACATTGTCGGCTTCTTTTTGTTGCAATGAAGACCCGAGTACGCCGTGCATGCATCACAAGAACAGACGAGGGCGCACAATCGAGATTCCTTCTTGCGTTCGAAAACCATATCGCGTCTGGAATCCGGAGACTGTTTTAGCGCTCCCGCCGAAGATCTCTATGTTCTCCGGTATAAAGAGAATCATACACAAAGGACATTTTGACCAGCGGTGCCATTTCGACTTGCGCTTACGAAGCTCCATCAGCCACCAGGTTTCCGCGTTTCATATGGGGAAAAGAAGCGCCAACAGAACTCGCAATGCGAGCCGACTCCGACCTTTCTGGATACGTTTTCAGAGCTCGTGTGACGTGCGTAGAGGCAACCACGACCGGTCGAGAACGATGATGGCGTTGATCAGGTAACGCCTCATCAGATTACACAGAGTATATTACTGGTGCACGTTGCAATCACGACGTTGCCTCAATGAAAGAACTACCTCTTTTCCCTTGACTTTTTGCTTGCTCTTCTCACGGATAAACAGTTCATCTTTCGCAAGCTCAAAACAGCAGCCGGGTGAAGCGGAAACGCCAGCTCATTGCTGGCATGACTCAGAAAAGCAACCGGGAAAAGTGGAAACGCCAACCAATGAAATGAAAAGAAACAAACAATCCTGATGGGCTTTCTTGACTTCAGACTAGAACGCGGCAAACCGGTTTGGAGACGTCGACCAATGTAAGAAAAGGGACAGAAAGCCCTGAACAAGCTTACTTTACTCCAGAAGAGGATGGCGTTCCCCCTCTTCGGCTTGACGCACAAACCGGGCTTCGGATCCTCCCCACACGAGCACGTGGGTTGACCGGGGGCTATCTCCGCCTGCACACGAACGCGTGCGTTAGCAGCAGAACTGGTACCTGGCAAATCGCTTTTCTTCTCACAAGGACTGTTGTTACTCATGGAGAACTTGGTATAATTAACGCTGCTGATGCGGAAGACTCAACAAGGGGACTCCGAAAAAGTTCATAGGCCTTAGGCTATCTCTGCGATTCTGGGCGACCCGCTTTTCTGAATGGGGAGATGTCCGTTTCTTACACAACGAAGTGCTTGTCAATATTGGTCTCAAGTGTTGGGTTGATAAGACTCGGGAATGGAGTCACAGACTGATGACCGTCTTGAAACGTGCCCGTCTTAGTATTCTTAGAATCTCAACTCCTATAATGGGTAGAGGCGTTCGTAGTCAGCGCTCTCACAAGGCAACATTGGCTGGCGAACCAACAACCGTTCGGATCTGCCCGCTCCTCGTTCGCACTTCACAAGGTTGGGAGGCGCATTTTGATTTGAAGAGGACTCCGAAAGCAAGGAGCCGATCAAGCCCGAAAAGAGCGCACCCTTCGATGTGACCAAGCTTGCCGCCAAACCATCAATGCATTAACCAAGTTTCATTGAGCAGGTACGAAAATGAGCCAGTCTTGCGAGCAGCAAGCCTAGCATAGCCCCTTCGGAATTTCAGTAGGTATGTGGAACGAGGAAGGGAACCCCAGCGATAGAATCCAATGGGCAAACGCACGAGAAAGGAGAAGACGACAAAAAGATTTGGAAACCAGCTAAACCACAAGCTCACGAAATGCTCAGTATATGGGCCTCGTCAAGATACAAAGAGTAGGGACGCATTTAAGTCAAGGTGTTCCATACCAACGGCTCAAAACTTGCAGCTTCCAAGAACGCATAGCAATGACGGCAGCCAACATTGCAATCGTCGAAACACCTGAGAAGAGCGCAGTGAAGACGCAAGGGAGATCGCTGTGTCGAAAATGCTTATCTAAGAAGACGAGAGCCGATAGGCAGACTTTGGGCCAAACGCCAGCCGATGCTAGCGGGGCTGCTGGCAACAGTCGACTGGAGGCAGAGCGGTGTCAAGGTGGGATGCTACGAAATCATGGCGCCTTGAAGGACGGCTTTGTTCGCTTACCGTTTTGATCCTGAGGCTACTTAACCAGACGTCGACCATGTCTGGCCGGCAAAAAGGCACCGAAACATGCGCCAACCAAGTTTTTCACCAAAAGAATTTGAGTTCGATGCACGCAAAGTATGTAAAACAAAGGCAAAGACAAGAAGGGAAGAACTGAAGCAACTGGAATGATGCTGCCGGGTTTTCACGTTTGGAAAGGTGGCCTTGGCCCCCTACAGTTCTTCGCCAACTAAAACTTCGTCTGCTGGCCGGAAGAGATAATGATATAGATCGGAACAATAAAAGAGACAGAAAATTCAAAAAAAGACAAGAAGGGAAGAACGGAACGAGGAGAAGCTGCCACAAACTCACATTTGGGAAGATGGTTTCGCCCCCTTCTTCAACGTCCGATAGATACATGAGCACCGTTCCGACGCGCTGGCCCCCTCGCTTCACATTGAACTGCGAAGAAGAAAAAAGGGGTTTGACTGCGAAGTCAATCACAAACCGTGTATGATACTTCGAACCGAAACTCTGCAAGCACCTAGGTTGTTGATAGAAGATTGAGACTACGGGTTAGTCTGGTGTTGCGCAGTCAATTGTCAGATCATGAGAGCTCAAGTATCCGGATGCAAACGCAAGATACTCGTCGCACTCTTCGGACTTCCTACGATTGTTTTGACCGTTCTACTGACAGGGACCAAAAAGTACTCCTCTAGAGTTTAAGAGTCAAGCGCATAGTCTGGCCCTGCTGTGCTGTGGAACGCGACAAAAGAGATCTCCTTCAAACTTTGGAACCAAGGATCGGTCGCGTTTAGCCTCACTTCGCATCGAGAATAATGAGGACCTTCTAGATTCTGAGTCTCGAGGAGTGAATCCCGTATTGACAATCGACCAAAGCTGGCCATATGCCCAGTATTGAATGTACCCACCGATTCGAGATGCAAAGGAAAACTCGTGTGATCGCTGCAGGCAATTCAAGCTAAGCAACATCGACACCGCGCTTTCAACCACGCATCCTGACGCAGAATTGAATAATAGTCAGGAGCCAGACGCGACGGATGACGACAGCGCGGTGATGACGTCAGGCCTGACCTCATCCGAGAAGTAGTCGTGGTGCGGCTTGTAGTACTGGTCCTTCTCGTAGCGCAAAATCTGCAGCAGCTCCCCGTTCGGTATGGGCGTGTATGTGAAGTGGCTGATGCGCTCCTCGATCGCCTGAATGAAGAAAACGAGACGAACGCTTTTAGCAGAAGGGAGGGATATAATAATTTGTCAAGCTTTGAGTTTGGTGGGTGCCTGATTGGGGCACACAATGTGGCTGATGCAAGCCTCAGTTATCTGAAACAGCGAAAAAGGAAAGGTGAAACGAGTCCGGAAATCATTGTATACAAGAATCGCGTGAACTGCTTATGATTTCTGTAAAGAAATGCATGTTTTGAGGGAGACGGTTATCGGAGCCAACCCGTTTGACACTGCATCCAAGGTGTTGATGGATTACTACAGCAAGTAGAGGTTTTGTTGGTGGATTACTACAGCAGAAGTTTTTTGAAAACTTGGCAAGGCTTTGAGGAATACAGGCCGACGCGAACCCAGAATGGAGAGCATGGGAGCTGAAGGGACGACAAAAACATCCGCGTCCGGTTCACAAATCCCGATCGAGAGAACAAGCCCTTAGATAAGTCCAAAAGGAATAGCCCAGGAATACGGGCCCCGAAAGGAATCCCTAACAACTACAAACCTGAATCGAAGGAGCACCGCATCACCTTACCTGGACCACAAGGTCGTTCTGTCGGTCCGACATGCTCAGAAACATGCCGCTACTAGTCCGCACCTTGCTTTGGATGCCCTGCGGCAAAAGAGAGCCAGCGTCATTAACTCTACACGGGCTTATGAAAGTGTCCATTCTGCTTAAAATGGGCGTTGGATGGCCTGTTCAACCTGACGTCAGCCACGAATAACCAAGCAGAATGATCTGTCGAATTCTGAGTTTGAGGAATTTTCGAAACGCGGGACCCCGCATTGAGATATAACACTGATGAAAGCGGCAACCGAGTTTCGTCCTCTTCAAATTTCCGTGAAACTCGTGTGCACCTGCCGGAAAAGCTCAAGTCCTTTGCGTCCATTTTTCCGCACGCATGCTATCTACACAGACTGACGCCCTCTCCGAATCCTTCGAATAGCGTCCGGTTCTTCTCCCTCACGGTTGCTTCGAGTGCTTGTCTCCCTACAGCCTTTACGCAGATTCCGGGCCATGTTCTAAATGTGCGAACACAGGGATCTGGTTGCTTCGCCAAATGAGGGGATGCGCATTGCCACACCTTGGACAGTCCGCTTTGTCAAGGACATAATTCGGGACACCCCACTTGCGTTGCCAGGAAACCTGGCTGATAAAGCAGTGACGACACCCCATTGCGAAAAGAGGCACGGGATCCAAACGGTAGAAGCGGCCGTCAGACATCGTCTGTGCGATAAAAAAGCCGGGTAGTAAGAAACTCAGAACCAGAACGAGAACGACACGTCAGCAGCGTGTAGATTGGCGGGACGTTCGCACCTGGCCCGTTTGCACGTCCACTACTGTTGACTTCTCCAGCCGGGGCCGCCCCAAGTCGATCATGTGCTGCGCTTCCTGCAAAATGAAACCCAAAATCTGAGATGGTATTTTTGGGACGGATACACAGATCAGGAATCAGATTTCCGCTGCTTTTTTGCTGCTTTATTCCTCGTCAAAAGGACCATCGGAGACATCCTCTGGCGTGGCGGTTAAGATGGCCTGGAGTGGAGGAAGGTCGAAACCCTTGCAAACAGCGGAACAATATCGACATCCAATCTGGTGCGAAAACAACGCAGGGGAAATTCTGCAGAGAAGTAAAACGGGTCCTTTTCGACAAACGCCCGACGAGTCCTCTGAATTGTCCATGCGCAAGAAATGTGCATCTCCCCTGCACGCTAGGCGCACAGCACTGGGCTAATTGCTTAAAAGCAATCTTCATTCGTTTATCCTGCCGTAACGCAGTTCATGATCAAGGAAGTGTCTGATTGACATGATTCGGTACTTATCAGATTGATCAAAAGCTCGCGAAACGGCACGTCTAGCACAACCTCACCAGGAAAGCACTAAGAACCAGGAGAATACGAAGCACGTGATAGTGAAAACGACAAGGACGATACGAAGCACACCATACTGAATTCGACACTACATTTCAGAGGCCCAGTTTAACAACGACCCCGCAAACATCAAGTATCACAACATAGAAGCTTCTGATGCGGACTAGCCGCTGGTTGTGTTTGAGGGACGGTGCACGCACCTCTTCGCTGAGGAAGTTGTGGAACAGGATGATACGAGGGTTCCAACTGATGATCTCCGGCTTAATCTGCAGCAGTGACACAAAGTAGGGAAAAACGGCGTCAGCTTTCAAACTTCACGTGATTATCATTGACATCCTCGCACACCTCGACTCCCAGTAAACAAAAGAAGGTCCAGGAAATACTTCATATGCAGATCTCCGTTGGCAAATCGTTGAAGTACGACAATCGAAAACGAAACGGTTTTGTTTCAGTTTCCTTTGGACAAATCTGGAACTTTCAGAGCGTATGGCCTGGAGATTATTCGAAGCAGAACTGGATCGTCTGACTTATAAGCGACAATAAGCGACGCTACTCAGAATCATTGTGCCAGACTATGCTCAAAGCGTCCAAGAGGAGTACCAACTTTGGCCATCAGAATCGCTACAGCAGCTTTTATGAGAAGCACGATGGCTGTACAAGAGCAAGATGACTATTGGGCAGCAAGCTTACCTTCCCCAAGCGCAGGGTCTTTGCAATCGGATCATTGTACAAGGGCGAATCTATGATAGCTGCAAGAGAAACAACACGATCTTCGCTTCCTCCAAAAGCAGCATCTGAATGAAGGCAATGACCGTGTTGAGTCGTGAATCTTGTGAAAAGACCAATTGACTCTTTGAAAGGTTGAAATCTTTGTTCTGTCGCTGGAAAAGTAAGACGTTTCGCTATAGGTGCTTATCTGACAGTCCGTAGGAGAAATTAGCAACTCACCCAGCAGGTGCACTTGTGCGACCGAACAATGAAGACCACCAGATTGTGAAACGCGTCAAGTTCAGAGCGTCAAACAGCATGTATCTAATTCTACTTCCAGATTACCAAGTGTTGAGCTTGGACCTTTAGCCCCTCATGCAGTCGGAAGAAGTCAAAGTACGGAGGCATAAACCATTTTCCGCACAGGATGGGCTCTGATTAATAGTTCCAAGTCGAGTCAAACATGAGCCACCTGCCTATTGAAGCACAACTGACTCCAGAACTAAGCAGCTCCATTGTTTTCTCCCCCCTAGTGCAACTCGTCGCTAGAAGACAGATTGGGATCAATGCTAACCATGGGCTCTCAGTACAGTCATACGGAACCATTACATACATTACACATTCCGGTAAGGCCTGATTGACTAGTCCCACGAGTTGACCCCCGAAGCAACTCTGTGAAAGCCTTCGGCCTTACATTGTTCATGATCTGGAGGGTTTATTTCTTTGCCCGCTGCGACCTCCAGGGCCTCTCGCCTCGGATCTCCTGAGGGAATCAGAATCGCTGTCTTGAGTTCGTACTGCCCTGTTTTCAGCAAGTGGGTTTGACTGCCGCATGTTACAAGCAGACCGCAAACAAGTTACGTATCTTAACAAATGTTCCTTGCTCTGAAAAGTGGTCATCTATCAGGACTGCAAGAGCATCCAATTTGGTCATTGGCTGTAGTTCAAGCAGAAGAAACAACTGCAGGCAGGGGTACATTACGTCAACGAGAACCACCAGTGAAGGAAAAGGCTGAAGTCTGTAAACGTGACTCCTCATACCGCGACATCCAACAAACTGGCTTTGACTGAAAATCTAAAAAAGGGTCGCAGTCCTCATGAAGCGTTGGGCATTGATATTTGCAAGGCATGAATGAGCACTCACAACTTTCTGCACGTTGTAAAACTACACCTTTGCTTCAGCGACCTTTCTTTGCAGCCAGATTTCTGGGCAGATTAGAGGTTTAGCTCAGGCGCATCAGGTAAATAGCGGACCAAGTTAATCGACTGCCCGTCCGTCCACATTGTCCGCTGGTTCGCTATCCTACTGATCAATAATACCGCCGAACCACACTTGACTAAGCCAAGAAAACCCCCAGGGAAGGATGGATGTTCATACAGCTTGCGAGGACGCACCTGTCTGAGACGAGTCATGCACCACGACGCGCCATAAGGTCACTGCCAATGAAAAATGTCAGGCGTCATGCAAACCCTAAAGTGAGAGCTGGGAGATCTTCCTGCAGACTGCTGCAATGCTGTTGAATGGTACAATACGATACAAATAATTGCAGCTAACATGAGACCACCATGGGAAGGATGCACAGGCCTATTTTGCTTCAGTTGACTTGTTGGAGCTCTTTCTCAAACCAGAAGAACAAAGGAGTGAAGTGCTGTCTCTTTGTGCATTCAATGCCGATTGAGCGAGCGCGTTTGCACACATGTGCACGATGCTCCAGAAAGCAAGATCTAAAACATTCTGAGAAGTCTTTCAGCTGACGCTCACCAAGAACGATAGTCGCCACCACGAAAAGGGTGGCCCGCGTGCACAGTTGAGCAACCTTTACGACGTCCCTTTTATGTAAGTGACCGCCTGCCATAGTCTATAACGCAATTAGATACGCCTGTAGACGCAACGATGACGCCCACATCGCCCTGCGCGAGCTAGGAATGACCTGCTGGCACTGCTTGCGCACATGGTGAGCTGAGCTGAGCACTTCGAGCTGAAGACGTTTCAAGCTCCAACGAGTGTGAAAACCCTAAAGGCTAAAGTGCGTGTTGAAGCAGTTGGGCAAAAATGGGTTTTTGTTCCATCCGTCCGCTTGACTCCAAAATCCCATTCCGCTGCAGCATGAAGCATGAACGGAACGTATCTTGCTCAACTGCCCACAAAAGCCGTTGATAAGATGGTAGATGAGGACGAATGGACGGCGATGCCAGCTGCCAGCACGGCTAACATGTGTACGGAATGTTGAAATCAGGACAGCTGAATATGACCAGCCGAGAGAGAAATAAATGCGAAGCCGTCACCCGTGACGACGAAAATCTTGCTGACACAAACCTGAATCTGCTGAAAGTTCAAAGAGCTCGGGGCGAGACTCCGGGCACCTTAACGTCTTGAGTTACTGCCTGGTTTACAACTGAAGACCTGAAATTGTAACTGACGAATCACGAGACAGCTCCGCCTTCTTCAAGGTTTCCGAGATGGTTACATAGGGGTTTACTGTATACTTATTACTAATAACTACCGTATGAATTCGATCCGGGTGCATGCGAACCCCGGGGCCCGGATGTTGCCTTTTTGGGTTGCTCAAACTCCGATAACTCTCGTGTGACCTAAGAGCCGTGTGACCTAAGATAGGTACCCGGGGGACGGGTAGGGTTGGTATGGTGGTTAGGGTGGGTTGGGGTGCGGAGCGGGTGATCATTTGGGTTAGGT